TACAGAGTTCACTGCTATAACTGTCCTTTTGTTCTGTATTGTATTCACAGTGGTGAATGGCCTCAATTCTTCATTCTACCTGTTTATTTTGCATCTTTCTAATATATTTGACATTTGGCAGTTGGGAAGGGGACACACAGGTGATCCAGCAAGCGCAATGCTGGAACTCCTGGATCCAGAACAGAATGCGAACTTTCTGGATCACTATCTTGATGTTCCAATTGATTTGTCAAAGGTTAGTAGTCTGCAAAGTTCTTTATCTACAGATCGTATCATTAGGCTTACATTTTTAAGGTGGCCTTTTCCATTGTACGTGGCTTGGGTTTTAATTGAATTGTAATGATAAATGTTCAGCGTTAAGAACATTTGAACTAATTTATTTGTATATGAGTGATAAAACAAGTCCAGACCCCGAGATTATGAGTATATATTGTTTCAGAAATTAGAGTGTTGTTGCTTAGTTGCCATGTTTTAAAGTATTAGGACCTACTTCTATTGTATTCTGTCTGCCATGTTTTAAAGTATTAGGACCTACTTCTATTGTATTCTGTCTTCAGTAAGAGGGAAAAAAATAGTTGCAGAACTGCGTGCTTTTTTTTTTTTTTTTTTTTTTGGGTACATAGAAGTGCATGTCTGTAAACAGAATAATACGTCCTAAAAGGCTTGTTGGAATTGATCCTATTCACTGCACTTCATCATTTTTTCTAAGAAAATTCAAGCTACAAAAGATACAGAATGCTGCAAGCTACAAAATATTAATATTCTATATCATTGTCGTCTTTATCTTCACTAATAACCAGTTAACTCACATTTGTACCTTTTGGATTGGAGATGTCATACTTTGCATTTACTGATGCATAAACATTTTGAATTATATTTCTTAAAATTTCCCCCTTGACCGGATTACTGATGTTTTTATACTAGTAATATTTATGATTGCCAGAATATATGTACAATCCTTGGAACTACTGTCTTGATTGGAGAGGATTATTGTAAGTTGCCTATAATATACTTTCCGTTGATTTGAAAGAATGAGAATTATGAGTTAATAGGACTGGAAATTACAACATAGGAAGAGTGTACAACCATACAAAGATCCTGGCTAAAAAACTAGAAATGGAAATATTATGGCCCTGACTATCTACATAAATGATTCCAATGAAATAATTCAGAATCTTAAAATGAGAAGGTTTTGTTTTAAAAAATACTGAAGTTTTGGAGTATTTTTCAACATAAATAACGACTTGTTATAAATTTCTGACATATTTATGGTTAAATACTATTGTGCCGTGTTACTGGAAGTCCGAATGTAAGTTCTCATTGAGGATTGTGATGATGATGTTGAATTGTGCACAAGATCTCAGATGTTCGACGTTTATGTTGCTGGTGTAGTAATTGCTTCGTTGTTATCGTCTATTTTTGTTTATTCCGGGATTTAGATTTTCCAAAATTTTCTGACTTGCTAGATGTGACATGAAGTCTTCTATAATTTTGCTGCAGGTCTTATTTGTTTGTACTGCGAATGTAGTGGAAATGATACCCAACCCTCTCTTGGATAGAATGGAAGTAATTTCAATTGCTGGTTATATTACTGATGAGAAAATGCACATTGCGAAAGATTATTTGGAGAAAGCTACTCGTGAAGCTTGTGGTATCAAGCCTGAACAGGTCTCTCTCTCTCCCCACTCCTGCACATCTCCAACTTTAAGACACTATCTCCTACTTTCATAGAGACATGCTTTTTCTGAAAAGAAATAGCGTGACTAGGTTATGGAATTTTTATGCCTATAATGAGAATTTTTTTTTTTGGCTCCCTTGCTGATGAATATGAGGTCGCAAATAAAGAATTCTACCTCTAGTTTTTTGCTGAAACTAGCAGATTGATTGGTAAAATAATTCTCACAATGCGGGATGCAGTATTTTACTGCCTACCCACAATTTCCAGTCTGGTTCATCAGATCTAGAGTGCAAATGAATTGTGATCTAAACTGCCAATATTGGCTATCTGGCGACTTTGCAGCTCTATATCTTATCATTGCCATGCAACTTGTGCTTCCATTGAATATACCCATGCAGTAATACGGATGTCTGCCTCTACTGGAGATAGCTTGATTTATTCCTATCTTTGCCAGGTTGAGGTGACAGATGCAGCCCTTCTTGCTTTGATTGAAAATTACTGCAGGGAAGCTGGGGTTCGGAATCTTCAAAAACAAATAGAGAAGATATACAGGAAGGTACTGTAACTAGTGATTACTTTTCTTATTTTCAAGTGTTTCATGGATTTGTATGGTTCAATTCAGAATTCCTTCTCACTTGATTATCATGAATTTCTCCATTTGGGAACTGTTTGAATTTACTATTATTTCACCAATAATTCTATTCTTCGATTGCTGGTCAGATTGCTCTACAACTCGTGCGAGGAGAAGCACATGTTAAACCTATGATTGCTGGGGTTCAGGTTCAACATGATGAGATGAAGGCAGAATCCGATCGTGTGTCCAATGAAACCATGGTTGAAGGAGTTGGAGCTGAATCAGTAACTACAGCAGAAGCTGAAATAGTGGAGGTGGATTCCCCAGCGGACCAAAATCCATCTATTAATCAACCCAGTACTTTGGAGGTAGGTAGAAAAGTTTCTTTTTTTTTGTTTGATAGTAAATATGGTTCATCTAGATGTTGTCATCCTCCCTACTCTAAATAAACTAAAATCTGCTCCAAACCTTATTGAACAACCTTATGGGAAAAATGTGTTTTCTTTACTATCATTTAATATTCTCTCTCTCTCTCTCTCTCTCTCTTAAATTTGGATCTCTGATGCTCATTCTGATAAGACACGTGATCTTTAAATATACCATATTAATTCATGGAGGGAGTTTTCCTTTATTTATTTATTTATTTATTTATTTATTTTTTGACATTTTTATTTCATCCTACCAGGACTCTTCTGAAGCTGAAAAGACTCAGGAAAGTGAAGCAACCAACACAGAAAAAAAGGTCCTGGTCGATGCATCTAACCTTGTCGATTTTGTTGGCAAACCTGTTTTCCATGCCGAGCGCATATATGATCAAACACCAGTCGGAGTAGTAATGGGTCTTGCTTGGACTGCAATGGGTGGCTCTACGCTCTATGTAGAGACCTCTAACATTGAGCAAGGAGAAGGCAAGGGGGGCCTTAATCTTACAGGACAACTTGGAGACGTAATGAAGGAAAGCGCACAGATTGCTCACACCGTTGCCCGGGCCATATTGCGCGAGAAGGATCCAGACAACCCTTTCTTTACCAATTCGAAGGTTCATCTTCATGTTCCTGCAGGTGCCACTCCAAAGGATGGTCCAAGTGCTGGTTGCACTATGATAACGTCCTTGCTGTCTCTTGCCATGAATAAGCCTGTTCGGAAGGACCTTGCAATGACTGGTGAAGTCACACTAACTAGAAAAATTCTTCCCATTGGCGGGGTAAGTGAAAGCAAACTTAAATATCTCTCAGAATGTGGTTACTTTTGCATATTCTGCTATTGAATTTATTGTTATGATAATTTATTCTTCATGTTTCCCCTAAAATTAGTTCACTGAAAGTCATCCAAGATTTATGCTGTTTTTTATTTGAGGGTGTTATTTGCAAGCATTTTCCATAAATCTGTGGTACCTCTGGGCATTATGGAAATATTTTATCATCTAAGTTACTAGAGTAGTAGGTGATGTTAGACTTAAAAAGTTACCATCATAAACTGTGCTTCATCATTCACTGCGTTGAATGTCACAGAAATTCTCTTCGTGTATAATCAGGTTAAGGAAAAGACTATCGCTGCAAGGCGGAGTGATGTGAAGACCATCATCTTCCCTTCAGCTAACCGGAGAGATTTTGATGAGCTAGCACCGAATGTGAAGGAAGGCCTCGAGGTACATTTTGTAGATGATTATAGTCAAATATTTGATTTGTCTTTTGACCATAGCCAGGACACGGGATAAGTACATTATTGCTGAGTTATGCATCTGGAAGTCTTTTCAAGGCAGGAACATGGGTCGTTTCTTTAACTCCCATTTCTTTTGAACAATATTTACACAGAGAATGTCACGTTTGTACAATGTAAGTTATGTGCGGATGAGCCGTTGTCAATTTATTCTTAGTTATATCCTTGATAGAGAACGTGGGATTAAAAAGTACGAAAAGTTTTGGATTTACGAGCAAAATTATTTTATTGGACAATTTGATTGAATATGTGTTTGGAGAAAATGAGTTTTAAAAAACGAGAGAACCATTTAAAGTGATTATGATTTGATAAGTTAATAATAAATGTTTATTTTTTTACGCTACCTCCGTATAAAGAACTCAACAATTAAATGAACTTGATTTACAATTATTTCTCATTGTGATTTAGAACCCAAGAAACTCGTGGCTTCTCTTATATTTTCTTGTTATTTGTTGAAGCAAAGCTCGAGTCCAGCTTGAATGAATTTTAGAACAATCTGAACTTATTTTGTTCCTTGCATATCACAGGTTAAGGTATGTATATTGCGAATAAATCTACCCATTAAACTATTAATTTGATATATTTATGTTCGCGACAAATTTATATTTTCATCAAAAACTTCGCACGTAACTAATTATATAAATAAATAAAAACAGAGAGAATTAAGGATACCCACCAGAAAGACTAACCCAATCCTTCCAATCGAGTGATCCATTAATCCAACTGGTGGAGGATTATAAATGGATCGATTTTTTTACTTTCATTGGAGATTAGGAATGGATGGGCCTATTTAGATAACTAGAATTCCGATTACTATAAAAAGAACTTTCTAGTTCACTGAACACTTAGTTCCATCGATCAAGTAAGGTGTGTCTTACCACTCAAATGCAATATCAATAAGCCTTTACATAACAAAGGTCCTTCATAAGTTGATAAATGAATTAAAATATTAAATAGAATAACAAAATAGTATCTCAAAATTTCTATTGAACAGTTGAACTATAAACTAAACATATACGTATATATTCTCTTCTTCCCAATCGAACTAATAGCCATTCTCTTCTACAACCATTCTTCTTCCCAATCCAACTAATAGCCATGATATGGCGTTAAATAAAAAAGTTTAATTTATTTTTCTTACATTTCCACTAACAAAATGTAAAAATTTTCATTTTTCAAGAATTTGAAATAATTTCTATCTTTACATAATGCAAACGTGTATTACAACGTAGTGCATACCCTTTGCAAGTAGAATCTATATTCTTAAATTAAGAATAGAATTTAAACAAAATTTTATCTCTATGCTCGAAAAAAAAAATTGTTAATTCTTGCTTATTTGATAAGATCACGTTAGATTCTAGATTAAAAGATAATAATTACCTAAATATATAGTTTTTAATTGGTATATAACCGATTTTTTTGTCATAATTATCACCAATAAAATGTGGAGAAATGTTAGAAATTCGTTTTTCAAGAAATTGAAAAATCTCAATCTTTACATAATGAAACGAATATTTTAGCAGTCCATGCTCATTGTGGGTAGAGTTTATATATTTAAGAATAAAATTTATACAAAAATATATCTCCGTGAGTGCTTTGATTATATTTAATCTTGCTTATCGTATCAGATCATTTACCATATTTAAATTCTAAAATGAAGTAAGGGGGGTATCCTCAATCTATAGTTTGATAGATTTTAAAACTTCATATAAATTGAGGTGTCCTCAATTTAGATTAAAATTTAATTCATTAAAATGTATATGTCCTCAATCTGGATTTTTAGAAATACTTATAAATTTAGGTGTCCTCAATATAAAATTTAATAGGTACTTTATAAATTTAGGTGTCCTCGATAACTAATTGATTTAAAAGGATTTCATTAATTATATAGATTTTGAAAGATTTCAAGCCATAAATATAAATACAAAAAATCTGTAACAATTTTATCTCAAACCTAAAAATTTCAAAACTTTTCTCACCTCTCTCTCTCCCCCCCCCCCCCCCCCCCCCCCCCCCCTCTCTCCCCTCCCAATGTGAACAATTTTCTTCTTCTCTCTCTAATTTTCCACAATTCTGATTTTTTCTTATTGAAAAGATACTACTGATTTTTTTTTTCTCCCTCTCTTGCATTTTGTTGAATATGTGGGAAAAATCATTTTTTTCGAAAATTTGTAATCATCCATTACATAATATTTATGAACTAAACGTAAAGCCATGATAATCTTGAAAAGAGCATATGGACTCTCCATTTTTTCTTGAATCCTACTGCGTTTGGATTTTGAGTAAGTCATGATTCGAGCAGATAAAAAAGGAACCGTACAAATTTTAGCCAAATCCACTAAAATCTATAAAATCCATGAAAATCTATTAAAATCTACAGAATAAAAATTCTTTCAAATCTTATGAAATCTATTAAACTCTATAAATACCATACAATCCATGAAAATTTATAAATATTAAGAAATCTATTAAACTTTGAATTGAGGACACCCTCGTAAAATGTTATTACTAGTTATTGTTAAGTAATTTGTTTCTTTTTTGTTTGTTGAAGTTGTTAGCACTTATTAAATAAGATTGAATTAAATAACAAAATAAAGTTTTATTTCAAATTTTTTTTTTAAAAATATTAGCCAGTATTATTTGACCTTATTTAATTATACTGGACGGATTGTCTATTCACAACTCCGCTAAAAAAATGTGGAGAAATGTTAGGAAGCTCTTTGTTCAAGAATTTTGAAAACATATCTATCAATTACATAATGATAGGCACACGCACCCAGAGGTGAATGTGTGTATTTTTATATTCAGTTTTAATTAAAATGGAAAAAAATGCTAACTTTATGTTTGATGATTCAATAATTTATTAATTTTTAGTCAACGTAATTGCCAAATTAGTGGATGATTTCACTTATTTTTATAATAACAAGAGATTACATCGAGTATATTATCATTATGACTATTAATGTATTTTAGAATATTTCAAATTAAAAATTCTTATATATGTTTATTGATTTGAGAATGTTGTAATGTCCCACAAGTTGTTAGCACTTTTCATCTATGCTAAGCTTGAATTTTAGCATAAATGTATGCTACGCTAAAGAACATAATAAAAAGAACATATTTATAATGACATGAAACATAAGGGATGTAGCAGTCTAGAAATGATGATATGTTCAGCTAGGTAGAAGGTTCTAGATACACCAATACTTTAGGCTAACTACAAGTTTCTAGAAGGCAGTTTACCTTGTTCTTGAAGGAGTTCTTTAGAGAATCCAATGATTAATATTTGTAAAAATATTGATGAGATATTTTTGTAGAAATATCTAGAATCAAATATGGACCATTGGATCAAATAAGTCCTAGCCTTCCATTTCAGAAAGCAAACACTAATAGGTGGAGAACTCGTTGTAAAGTGTCAAGTCCCAAATTGTAGATAGCTTCATACATAATAGAAATAACATTTTCCCAAACTCTTTGCAACCATATACTCTTTCCTTACTCTTATTCGAGTTGTACCAGATTCTTAGCTTCTACGCTAAATCAAAGGTTGACTTAGCATGATAATGTGAGGATGATGAAATTGTCATTTAAGATGGTTATCATTATGACTATTAATGTATTTTAGAATATTTTGATTTTCTATCATAAACGGGATGCTATGCCAAAGAACGCACGTAAGGCTAAAGCTAAATGCAACATAACGTACAAAGTAATCAAACATGACCTAAGTGTGAAAAAGTCTAGAAACAATGGCATTTTCAGCTAGCCATAAGGTTATAGATACACAATACTTCATGCTAAACACAAGTAACTAGAAGACAGCTTGCTCTAGTTTTTGAAGGAGTTCCTAGAGAATCCAATGATGAATATTTGTAAAAATATTTATGAGATTTTGTAGAAATATCTAGAATTAAATATGGACCATTGGATTAAATAAATTTCAGCCTTCTATTTCAGAAAGCAAACACTATATATATGTTGTGAACTCATTGTAAATTGTCAAGCATCAAGTCCCAAATTGTGGAGAGTTTTGCACATAATACAAATAATATTCACCCAAACTCTTGTTCAACCGTAATCTCTCTTTCCTTGGTCTCATTCTAGTTGTACCAAATTCTTAACCTATACACTAAATCAAAGGTTGACTTAGCATGACAATGCGAGGGCGACAGAATTGTCCTTGAAAATGGTTATCATTATGATTATTAACGTATTTTATAATATTTCGATTTTCAATTCTTGCATATGTTTATTGATTTGAGAATGTTGTAATGTTCCACAAGCCATTAGCTTCATTGTCTATGCTAAACTTGAATTTTGGAATAAATGGGATGCTATGCTGAAGAACGTAATAAAAAGAACGTATGTATTTAAGGCTACATAAAACATAAGCGACGTAGTAATCAAACATGACCTAAGTGTGGAAAAATCTAGAAATGATGGTATCTTTAGCTAGCTAGAAGGTTTTAGATACACTAATACATCTAGCTAAACACAAGTTTCTAGAAAGCATCCACTAGTTCTTGAAGGAATTATCTAGAGAATTTAATGATGAATATTTGTAGAAATAGAATCAAATATGGACCATTGGATTAAATAAATCTACCTTTCATTTCAGAAAGCAAACACCATACATTGGTGATGAACTCTTTGTAAAGTGTCAAAGTCCCAATTTATAGAGAGCTTTTTACATAATACAAATAATATTCTCCCAAAATCCTATGCAACCGTCCTCACTCCTTAGTCTTATTTTAGTTGTACCAAATTTTTAGGCTCTACGCTAAATCAAAGGTGACTTAGCATGATAATGCAAGGGCGAAAAAATTGTCCTCGAAGAGGGTTTTATTCCAAAATTTTTTTTAGTGTTCTTTACAATAATGGGCAAATACTTGGTTGTGTCTGTGTGTGTCTATATATATATAATTACTAAGATGAACATTTATTATAATGATATCTTTTTGTATTGTTAATCTCATTGGTGTTCTAATACTATTTTTACTACTACAACATATGAAATACTATAAAATATCATTTATAACAATATGCAATAATATCAAGTATTTCACTAGACAACATATTTAATATACTTATTAAAATGCAAAAAATAGTTATTTTTCTAATAAATCCAAAAATTTATAAAATTACAAAATAAAAGCATATTTCTTATAGTAAAAAAATATTCAAATAAATTTAAAAATTGGAAAGAATTGTTATTTTTAGATCTGCTTATGAAACGCTTAAAACTACTAATTGTCGAAGAGTAAAGCCTTTGTTTGAGTCCCATTATCTTTAAAAAAATAGATTTTATAATAGTAATTTTATTTTATTATTATTATTATTATTATTATTATTATTATTATTATTATTTATTTATTTTTATTCTTTTTTGAGAATTTGTGGTTAAAAGTAGGACAAAAGTTTTGAATTCAAAGAGGATTTTATTAGGAGAATGTGTAATTAAAAATATATTTGAAGAAAAATGATTTTGAGATAATGGGGCTCAAGTAGGGGGCAAAAAGTTGGGCTCTAAAATCAATACAACATGGAGTGTAAGTGCTCTTAACATAACTAATAAGAAAGAATGTTAAAAAAGTATTGCTTTATTGAGAGATTTTTATTTCCTCAATCAGAAAATGAAAAACCAAAAAAATTATTTGTAACTTGAAAAGAGTTGATAAAATAAGCACAAAAATGATACTTTACTTGTTTTATCGATATCTTCTACTAGTTTCACTTAGATTGTTACAAAACTATGCACCGCATCAATACTCTATTAAGTATACTTATAACGAATTGAATATAAATTCAGGATCTCAACTTACTTAAAATAATAAAAACCCTCCTAAAATCTTAAATCAACAAAAATAATTATAGAAAATTATAGATATTATTTCTAGACGGCAAAGCAAAGACTTGAAATTACTGGGGCCCAATGAATTATGAGAAAATTTCAAACCCAAAATGCAAAAATATAAATAAAAAGAATAATGCTATTTGTAGTCCCTCACTACCACAGTCGCTTTACGTAGCATACATATAACTGTTTGGGATTTGATGCACAAGATAATAAAAAATTACCGCATTAATGCATCAATTCACTAACCGACACATGTATATCACGTAGGACAACTTTGGTATTGAGCGAATGCAAATAGCATTATTCAAATAAAAAATAAAAAATGTCATATTATATAAAGAAAATCTCAGATTTTCGTGGGGATGTAAATAACAAAATGTAGGAGCAAATTTTGACCTTTAAGAGCGAAAATCCTGAGGTAAGTTGATAACCACAGTGGTTAAAGAGAGTCCATCAAAGGGATAACCAGTAAATGCATGATTTTTTTCAAAAGAATCGCTACTTTCTCTCTCAACGTGTTTTCTGTCGCCACTGGATTCGCACTGCGGACCCTAATCTACTGCTTGTAAGTTAATAAAATAAAACATTTTGCAAACAAATAGGGAGCAAATCTGAGTAAATTTTGGTGGGAATTTTCAATGAAAATATTTCTTGTGAGATGAAGAAGAACAGTGTTTAATACAAACTAGTGATGGGGGATGAAATTGAAAAAATTCAGAAGAGTCCCATTTTTGAGTTTGGAAATTCAAGCACTGATACTGCGGGTGCTTCTGAGCAATTGGATTTGCAGGTTCTTTAAGTGGTTCTGTCCCTTTTGCAGTCTTGATCAAGTCTAAATATATACATATGATATAAATTGTATGAATTTATATGTATCTGTATGTATATGTAGAGAGAGTTTTGGAATCTTAATATTCTTTAGCTGCCTTTTACTTCTAGCCATCTCTCTCACTATATATGTGTGATGTTTTTGATCTTGACGGAGTTGTGAAAAACTATGATTGAATGTTTTTACTAGGTTTCTTGCATGATAGTTTGATCTTCCAATTTGAAACTCACAGTAAATTGAGGTTTAGAACATGTTATTTAATGACTTTTCTTAGTTTTTAATAAAATCTTGCGTATGTAAATCTTTTCTTTTCTTTTTGTATTTGCCCCTGTTACATGTTTCACTGTTGGATATGGCAGGAAGGAATCCAGGATTGTTCCAAAGCGTCGAGCCCTTTAGGCTTGACACTGCAAAGAACGCCATCTTTTGTCGATCTTGTGGAGAAGGCGCTGGCGAAAGGAAAGCAAGATCATTCAATGGCGACGGCTCTTGGCCTAAACCATGAGAAATCAAAGGCTTCCAATTTTCCTGCAAAATTTCTTCGAATCGGAGCATGGGAGGTATTCAATTTTTTTCATAATCATTTTCTATAGATTTTCTTGAAATGTTACATTTTTGTAAAATAATAATAATAATAATAATA